AGGTAAAAGTGAAATAGATGTATTCCCACTTTATATCAGATGCAAACATAATAGGTAGTGCTGATATAACTCAAATGAGTTGATTGACTGCCATGTAATTTAACCAATATGACCATAAATATTGGCCTAGATACCTCTCAGACATTTGTAACCTGAAAAATAATCTGGAGAATCTTGGGTACAGTTACTCGAGTAAGATGAAATAGGACTATGAACTTTCACACTACTTTGTTACTCTTAACACAGCTCAGTTTCATTCTTCTATTTGCTTTTGGATCTACCACCTACTGTGAAAGTTTTGTTGTAAAAGAAGTTGCTTTATGAGAGTAAAAGGGATAATATCAGTGTTTGAGGGTTTTTTTAAACAGAGGTAGAAGCTTGTTCCACTTTAGTGGGGATGTTATTGTTTATTTAATATGTTTTCTTAATGTAAACCTTTATGGTGAGATCAAAGGCAGTTATGCTTGCTATAACTTTAGAACACAAATCCACAAAACCAACTTCTAGTTACAAATGCCAGCTTCAAAAAAAATCCTCACACTTGCTTCTCTTCGGCATGTGCTTGTCAACACACACATTCTGTGCAATGTGATAAGACACTTTTAGTTAACATGTGCATGCAACCAAAATAGATTAAAGGCATGTACTGAAATTTTTAATACAGCACAGACTAAACAATTAGGAATTTAAGGCATGTTAGAAACAGGGAGTTAGAGTAATTGTGCTCATTTATTCAGTTTTAAAGTTAAACAGAAATTATCACATAGCTTTCTCATTGACAGTCAGAAATGGATTTTTTTGAAATAGTAAGCATACAAAAAAATCGAGTTTAGGAATAGGAGAACAACACTCATAAAGAATGGGACCAGTTTACTGAAAAAAAAAAAAACCAACCAAACCCTAAGTACAGTAGATCGCCCCACTGTGTTTGTATTTATATAATTAAAGTTCCAGCAGTCAGTGGCTTACTCTATAATATCTTCAAAAATTTTATTTAGGGTGTTGGTGCTCTGGCCTGTAAGAGTCTGGCCTTTATGTCCTTATCAATGTCTATGTAATTCCCGTTGCACGGGATGCAAATGACAGACTTGTCATAGATGACAAAACTCATGCAGTCAGAATTCCGGTTTAACTGGCTACGTGCACAGTACAGCAGAGCAAGGTGCCTTGCTGGGATGCTGCACGATGCTCTGCTTTCCATGCAATATGCTAAGCGTTCTTACATCAGTTCATGGGTATTCTAAAGAATGCTGAGGAATCTAGCTTATTTGTATCCTGAAAGGCTGGAAATTCCTGTTTTGATTCCTTATTCTTAAAATGAGTTGTAATATGTACTAGAAACCTTGCAGTTCTGTAGTGTCTATTGAGCTAGCCTAAAGAAATCTCTGTTAAGTCCTATCACTGCTGCCAGATGAAAAGAAAATGCAAAAAGAAAATTTAAACAAATAGTAGAAGTCAGGATTGTTTTGCATTAACCACTGGCTCATGCTCTGTCCCTTAAAATGCAATTTTTGTGCTTGTTAAGCATGTAGGTGGAGCTTTGTTTTTGCCAGGCTGCTGTTGAGATCCCTGGTAATCATACACAGGTTGTTACAACTCCGTTTTCCACATGGATTTGATACGTAAATTGACTCTTCTTGTATCAGGCTGTGAGGATGGTAGCTGATGCTTCCCAGCTGCTGGGACAGACAAGGCATTTCATGACAGTTCCCTGAAGAATGTTCTGCCCCTCTCCTGTGCTCCCCACACTCTTCTCTCCAGATCAACCTTCTTCTCCCTCAAAAGTGCAGCTGGGCAGTGTTACCTAACATCTTATTCCCCTGCTGCTGATCCAGCCTAGACATGACATCAGTACTGGGGTAGGACATGGCAGCTTCCTCACAGCAGAAGGGAGCGTGTAGTGGAAGAAACTGAGCTGAATAGCTCTCAGGGGATGAGAGGGGCGTATTACAAGTTGCATACTTTAAACAAGCGGAATGGAATCTCTTAGAATAGGCTGATGGATATTAGCTGCTTAAATTTTTCACTTAGAGGCAGTTTGTACCAAGTCAGGGAAGCTAAACTAAGTTTAAGAGATAACATGAAAGACAGGGCAAAAGCAGACCAATCAAGCAAGTGAAATTCATGTAAAAAGGTCCAGCAGAAAGTGATGGGGGCTCAGAAAAACAAGGTCAGCAGCTAATACAAATTAAAGCAACCCACTTTAGATGGACAAAAAGCATATGCAAGGGCTGTTATTTTAGTGCAGCTGATGTGCTTAAGAGCCACATCTTAATCTGTCTTTGATAACTCATTGCTTTAGATACACCCACGGCTGCATCTGACTATGTGTAGCCTGAAGGCCAGCAGTCAAGAATAAAAGGGGCAGAACTAGCATCATTACCTGTTTGTTAGGGGGTTTTTTGCCCTGCCTTGAGGGTTAGAGAAAATAGCATATGGATGGCAAGGCTCTTGAGTCCACGCTTTTAACTCCTGCACTTAGGGAGTTGTTCAAAAGGCCAATCGAACTGCCTTCAGAACTGCTTTGGGCCATCTGACCAGCATAGTAAGAATGAGTACCTGGCCTAGTACCCTTCTGTTCTGTGCCACAGAAGGGGTGAGGTGGGGTTTCTGTTATGTCTCATTCATAGTCAGTGAGACGGAGTGTTGCACAGTTTCATCCCTTTGCCCCCCGTCTTTGCCAGCTGCCATTGGTGAGGGTTGTATTTCAGAGGTCAGAGACTCATGTGTTAAGTGAGACAGCCTGAAACTTCTGTGAGGTAACACTAATTTTTAAAAAGCAAAGAAAAAATTGAATGTTTTGGAAGACAGAGAGAGGCATAATTAATGTTATAAGTTACATAACTATTGAAAAACCATGTTCCAAGTTGCAGTTCAGTCAGGTGAAAGACGATACAACAGTCATCAGAGATCCTTTTAATTGTACCAACACTCACCCACTATACACAAAATACCAAAAAGATACAGGTTCAATGGGTCATTAGGGATACTGACTCTGTAGTTAAGGGAACATGAAAAATTCAGAGCCCAGCATCTACCTATACTTCTGAAAACCAAATAAGCAACTACAGATTCACCTAATGTAGGTAAAATTTAATGCAGGATCATTGATCACTCAGAGAATTTGATGTAACAAAACCACTGCGTTAAGAAGCCTCTGTCCATATTTTGCGGATATTAGAGTGGTATTTGACTTCATCAGTGGATAAGAAAGTATGACTTCTGTTCCAACTGCATGTTACTGAGTCAGCAGCTGAGGTTGCAGGGACTTTTTATTGTTTTGTCCTTTAGACATGTGTAATAGCCTGCAAAATGCTAGAAATAATTTGATTACATTTCATTTAAAAGTTGAAAAGATCCACCTGAAGCATAAGTTTAGCCAAGGCCACAAACTCATGTGAGTTTTAATTATACACAATATCTTACCATGCCAAAGCATCTCAAGGCTTTTTATAGAAGATCTACAATACCATTGTTAAATGAATGCAGACAAGCAAGTCTTTGGTTTGAGAGGCAACAGCCAACAAAAACAATTAGCAGAGACAGAATGTCCAGTAATGGAAGAATGAAACAAGGTCAATAAAGAGTACCTAAGGCACCTTGTTTATAGTCATCTTTGCTACACTCCTTAAGACCTCCAAATAATATATAAAACTGCAAATGCTAAGGAATGTGAAGATGAAACAGCTGAGGAGACTGTGAAGATGAAACAGCAAAGGACAAAATACATTACTCTTATTCCTAGTTAAAATTCCCATGATCAAAGGATGTGAATAAATATATTGTGATATAAGCGATAATGAAATAAAGAGAAGAATCAGACTTAGAGGAACCAGTACCATTAAGAGTAAGTTAATTTGATATTAATGAATTGCAAGTCAAAGTGCAGTAGGAAAGAAGGCTGGACACTGAGACGTGGATATTTTCTTTAATGTCTAGTGCATTTCTCAGTCTCAAGTACTACAGAAGGAGGAAATAACCCCCTTAATTTAAAAATTAAAAAAATAGGAGAATGTGGTCTGTACCTGCTTCAGGAACATGCACTGTACAGCAGGAAGTGCAAAATTGCCCTTGCCAAAAAAAACAAAGGAGAATTTTTAAGAGGGATGGGAATTAGTTTATTCTATAATAAATATTTTTAATCACCAACTTTGAGACTTTCATCAAACGCAGTACGTCGCTGACTGGTAATATAAGCTAAGTCTCAGGACAGACTGATTAAGTTTTGTTTCGGCCTTTCCTCCCTACAAATCAATACCAATTAAAAAAAAAACAGGGGGTGAGGGGTGAAGAATCCCATTACTTCTTTGCCTCAGCACTAGATGGTTTGTGAAAGTGAGTCAGCTGTATTGAGTCAGTTCCCTGCTCTTATACTAGGAAATAGAGCTTATAATCAAAGCTCTCTAATATAACTGGCTTACTACGTGTTTTGCTGAACTGGGTGCAAGATGTTATCTATGTTCCCTTCCTACTGCTACAGAGGGAAATTCATCCCTTTGCCTCCTTGTCAAGACCAAAAGAAAGAAAAACCTTGTATCCGTCTCAGTCTCTGGCCTTATTTGAATATTAGTTCATTTATACACACCTCTAAAAGTTTCAGAATGCCATGAGAGACTGGAAGGAGAAATTGCCAAGAAACCTGTTGGTTTCCAAACGTACGCAGCAGAACAGGAAGGCAGGTTAGCTGAACACATCGGGGGATGTAAATACTTCTAATTTTTTCACATAGCTTTGGGAATATCAAACTAAAGTCTGCAACAGCCAGAAGCCTGGTTACATTTTAATGCATATGAATTAAAAACTGTACAACAGCATTTAGTGTTCAAGAAGATGATTGTTACACTTTTGGCTTTTTTAGGAAAGCACATTAAGCTCTAAAGTAGAATGAGACTGTACTGTCTTTCAGTACCTAGCTTACACTGAGAATTTGTGCTCACGTAGTACAAAAAACCACAGACATTTTCCTCATCGTCTGCTTTTACCTTGCGTTCCTCCCTCAGGTATGGCCCATCTCCTGTTCCCTCGGAGCTACCTTTGGCTACGTGGCTGGTCTGATTATTGCACCTCTGTGGATACACTGGAACCGGAAGCAGCTTACATACAAAAGCAGATAACTGGAGCAAAGAGAGACAAGGTATTTCTTTGTGCAGATTCCATACAGACTGTGCAAAAGTTGGGGTTTTTAAAAGATATATATACGCGTAGTCAAAGCAGAAGACTATCCAAATTCATTTAGAGTATTTCAGGCCAAGCATCTCCACTCAATAAAATCACATAGATGCCGTTTCAACACGGTGCAGTTTTTGCTTCCTCTAGACTATGTAACCCTGAGAGATTGTACCTTCCAGTCTGAATAAAATATTTGTAACAGATGTGGTGGCTTCTTATTACAAGTTCGTCGATGCTGATTTTATTCCTCTGGATTTCACTGGTTGTAGAAGGCAGAATCGTAGTTTTAGCTTTCAAACCTGTAGCAAGTTTGCTGTGTACTTAATGCATTGCATTTTAATTCAGTAGAATTTCACAGTAAGCCTGGCCATTGTCAAATGTATCTCACGTGATCAAGCAGCAGTTTATGCATCTTGAGCCTATTCTCTTCTTCACTGTGTGTTTCTTTGGAGTTAGAATGGCTATAATAGCTTCATCAAAAACGGTCTTCAGTCCTTTCTGTGTTAAAGCTGAACACTCCACATAGCAGTAGGCTCCTATCTGTCAAGAAAATAAGGTAATTCAATAGCAATATTCCAGCTGTTCAGTTCTATCTGTGCAGTTCCGCTGTTTTTTTTTCTGTAGTGACACCACAGTGTGTGTTTGTGATCTAGAAAAGTTACCTGAATGTGCTTGCCCCTGTAGGAGAAAAGAAGATTTATCGTTTGGCCAAAGATCTGAAATGTATTTAAGTTGATTTGGTTTATAAAGGAAGCATGTTAAATAAGCTCTTCGATTGGCAGTGGTATCCTAAGGTATTTTTGATAACTGAACAGCAAAAAAGAATTACAGAATTACATGACCAGTTTATGTTTCAAAAATAAGACTCTATAAATAAGCGTCCTGATCAGCATTATCCACACAGTGTGATAAAATGGTAGTATAACATTCTCAAATAATTTCTTAAAGATGCTTCCAACATTTTGCTTGAGCAGGAGAGGCCCCTTCCAACCTCAACCACTCTGTGATTTTAATTTTCTCTGACTAATGCTTATGTAGTTTTTACGAGTGTCTACGCAGAAAGTTAGAACTATTACTAACAGGGAAGTGCTGTTACACAGTTCTGCTTGTTAGCTGTACTCAACGATGTAAGTAAATGTTGTTAACTGGTAACCAGTCATAAGGTTTCATACGTTGACTGGTAGAAGAATTGGGCAAAGTGGTAAAGGAAGAAAAAAGTCAATGGGAAATGGGGTATTTTGCTTCTTTGCTAGTTGGCTTCATTTACGATTATCCAGTTTACCTCTTTCGCTAACTTCTGTCCTTGCTCCATAGATATGGGCTTCTCTTTCATATCATTCAGTCTTGCCAGAGTTTTTGGGTCATCACGAAGATCAATCTAGCAAGAAAGATTGCAGTCATGTTGGAATACTAACAAAAGTCAGCAGGCTCTATGATGCCCTCTTTTTAAAGCAGAATTGCTTATTTAATGGAGTATTACATGTATAAAAATCAGTCGTCATGATTCAGATTGCGGACCCTTCCTGATCCAAAAGTCCTGGAAATTTAAGCTGTGAACTACTACCTTTAATACAGAAGGAACAAACGTTTATCTTGTAATTCAGCTTTTCAATTAGATGTGATCATCTCAGAATACCAGAAAGTATATTCACCACTGGCAGAAAGATTAACCCAAACATAATACCAACATGTGGGCCACTTTGTAACTGAAGCCCAGTCCACTGCCCACAAGAGGCAAGAGGAAATTGTCTCACTTCTCCCCTTGCTCCTTTGCTTCAGCAAATACCGGATATGACTAATAATTGCAGACCCAAGTAATTTCAGTAACATGGGTATGAAGAGACAGTTTTATTCTGTAAGTCCCATGACTTTTAGAAAGTTGAATAGAGGGATGCAGCCAATCTTGCCGCCTTGTTGTCAATGCATACATTTTAACAAAATGGAGGTAGCTCGTTAGAGAACACCACAGACCTACATTCTTCTGCCACTTGTTAGGGTGGTTCCTCCAAAGCCAGAGGGAGGTGCTGCTCAGGTCCTGTCGGGCCTGAACTTCCAGCCCAAAGAAAAGCCACCATACAATGACCTTAATTGTATAAATAAAGGAGAACAGAACCAGATATACCTGTGTTCCTACTAGTAAAAAGGGAACGTTAGGTGCATATTCCTTCAACTCCGGTACCCACTCTTCCTTCACATTTTGAAATGAAGCAGGGTTTACCACTGAGAAGCAGATAAGGAAGACATCGGTCATAGGATAAGATAAAGGTCTCAGACGATCATAGTCTTCCTGAGAAAGAAAAATTATGTTATCTGCAATATTAAATTGTTGCTTGTATTTTGTTAATTTTAACATTTATATTCAGAAACTGTATGCATATTTCAGTAATTTCGCTGAAGCAAACTTTCTGAATGTTTACATCTATTCCAGGTAAGTGTGACTGTCAGAGCAAAATCTGCATATGAGGGTAATTATATGTGAATGTAAATATAAAAAATCCTGTGTGTTAATACTGATAGAAACTTACTTCTGTACAAGAGTATACAGGAGACTACCCTTTAAAAAGTTTTCACTTAAAGAAGAAAAAGAAAGGCTTATGATTCAAACGTACATGCAGATCAAAGGTTAGCGTTTGTCTGACCAAAGAGAAATACGCAGATGTCAGTGCTGTAGGTCCATCCATGTTATACAAATCTAGGCGAAATTAAGGCTATTTAACGCACTTAAATTTGCTGTTTTGGATCATACGTAGAGGTGATATTTAAGTCCCTCAGAATTTTGTTTCTGTCTCTTAGTAACCTTACTGTCCTGTTGCAATGATCAGGGCAGATGAAGTAAGGATCAGAAGGGACCTCTTTTGTCCAGATTTTGCTTTCTGTAAGCAAGCCCAGCACAGAGTGGGGAAGGAACAAAAATTAAAGACCAATAATGCTATCAGAGGAACAGTAATACCTTTTTTTTTTATTTTTGGAGGAAGGGGGTAGTGTGAAAAGATTGTTACTTAGAGCCATAGCATTTAAAGCCACCAGTCCTGCTGCCAGGGCATATGATACCCTGGCAACAGAGGTACCTAGGAGCATTGTCCCTACTGTAAAACAGAGTCCCTGTACCAAGAGAGAAAGTGGATTTTGCCATATTTTATAGCTAAGAGCAGGAGGGAGCACACCCCAGCTTGTCTCTGCAAGGCTTCCTGTGGTCTATGGCAGTGAACCAATGCTCTACCATTCCTACCTTTTTTTTTTTTTAAACATAGTTAACTAAGACTGAGCCCAGGCACTGAAGAGACAGCAAGGACTGCTGGTTTTATGCCTTCTCTTCCACAATAAACACCAGTTTATTATGGCTGGGGGGGGAAACACCAGTTTATTATGGCTGCTGCAGCAGCCTCCCTCTTCCCCATGCAAGCTCCCCATCTTAATTAATCTCACAAATATTGGAACGATTTGTTCATTAAATGTAGAGACAGAAATGTAATTCAACTCCATGTTTGAAACGAGCCAGAAAATTAAATCTTTGTTTCCTTGGCAACTGATTATTAACCTATAGTGGCACCCTCAAAAAAACCCTTCATTGATTAATTGTTAAGTTTTAAAGACGGTGTCACTAGAATTTCAGAAAACTTGTGAGAATTTCCTCAGAACAGTGTCTGCTAGATCCATCTTTTCATTCGGAAGTCAACAGCTATGCGAAGAGGGCTGTTATCCTCATTGTAAAATGGAGAAAAGACTTACGAGAACAAGCACTGCAGGAAATTCTGCACCAGCAAGGAGGCCAAGTGGCCAATACTCTTCAGTGTCTATTTACACAATATTCTTATTTGTAATCCCTATTCTCATGTGCCATTTTGATTATATGCTCTACTGCCAGTCTTGTATAGTCAACAGTTTTGTCAATAAGCTAGAGCATGCCTAGCTGTAAACACAGGCTCCCAATTTCACAACCACAGTAACTGACACTGCTGTGAAACTACAACATTTGACAGGTGTCTCTGAAGATCCGTTGTCTCCCTGCTAGTGTCAGGCTCCTAGCCTGTTTCAAAAGAAAAAAACTAGTAACTGTGTCTTTTCCACATCTGTGGACATTCCTCATAGAAGGCAGAAATAACTTCCAAAAAATCACGACAGCAACTTGAAACTATTTAGCATTCAGTTCTTTTTTTAAGCATGTATTTTGTGTTCACTTCTGCTACTCAATGTAGTTAGATCCTGCTCAGGGTTGCCACTCTGTTTTCTAGGGTGGAGATCAAAATCCTAAAAGAAGCTTCCCAACTGCAAATTACACTGGTCCCTGGAGTACAAAATCTGCATGCAAGAACATTCAGGCAGATCCATCAGTTGCTCTCAAATTCAGCTCTACCAGATCGTACTCAGGGTATTACTGAAAAAGTTCTCTTTAAAAAAAAAAAAAAAAAATCTAGTGTAAAGTCATCATTTACTCCTACTGTCACTACACTCAACATTTTCTAAAAGTCTCACACCTGGGTTACAATTATTAAGAGCATTGTCTGCATTAAATATTGGAATGGAGAAAACATTGAATTGTCACCATAAATTACTGTTAGTCCGTTGACCTTAAAATACCTCTTAGTTAACCCATTTCAAATCACAGACGGACCTTTTATTCATAGCAAATACTAATCATTTTCTGATCTCAAAGCTGAGTTACATTTGCATGGTTGACTTCGAAACTTTCATATTTAGTGTATCTTTTCAAATCTCCTTGGCTACAAGTCCTTGTACGTTTAGCCACATCGTGGTACTGCACCTTACTTCCCAAGTATTCACCAGCAGTCATCTGGCAGTGAGCAACGTCGCCGCTTTTTAAGGCGTGTGTGTTGCTGAACTCTTTTCCTGTCCCTGCATCTATTTATAAGCCTTTTGATTTATACCCTGTCCCATCTGCACTGGCAAGCTGTGGGTCCATCCTGTGTAATTAAGAAGTTAAACTGAAGGCAAGTACAGTGTGATTGGATACATCATGTACCACGGCCAAAGATGTACGTGGTATTCCCTACAGTGACTTCACTGCATTTCTGCTCACTTAAATTAACAGACTTCGACTATACCCACCAATGCTGCTGTTTGTTTGAAACAAGTCGGTGCTGTCAGGCTCTCCTTTGAACCTTGTCTGTGCTACGAAAATTAGGTTTGTATTGATACTAAGAATAGCAGGTAATTCTAAGACTCATGATTATGCTGGTCCTGGGTCCTCCTAAGAGAGGCCTTGGCTTAAATGTTACCACCATCGAGTAGAGCATCTGCGCTTAAAGACAGCTTCTGCTCCCCAGCAGCCCCTCAGAAATCACACTCAAACCTGAAAACTTTCTCTGATGTGTTGGGCCTAAGTAACTGCTGCGCTTGGTGGAAGAATCTGAAATACCAAATGAATTTAGACTGAATATTAGAGAAGCCTGGAAAAATCCGATTGCTTCAAGTATAATTTATTTCCTGAATCTAGGCTAAGGGAAATAAATGTAGTTTATTCTAAAATTAAATGCAATGGCAAAATCTAATCATACTAGCCAGTCAACATAAATTCCAATTTGAGTGCATGTGCACACCACACCGTACAGCAATTAGACTTCCAATCTAACTGGGGGAGGCACTGCATGTGTATTTAGGCATTAAAAATATTTCAAGAATTTAACTGGAATATTTTAAGAATGTGAATAAGGTGGGCAAGAAGGCTACTAAGGATCAAAATACACAGTACCAGTCTCAAAAACTCCAGGCTGAAATAGTGAAATGGCTCGGTCTCCCAACATACTCTGGACTTTAAACCAAAATTGTTTGATGTTTGCTGAAGCGATGAATACAAATAGAAAAACATCATGAAAATACGAGAGTTGTAATAACTTTAAACAAATTGGATGCAAGTATGTTGGCTTAATTAATGTTATATGGAGCTGTGATCCCTATAAAAGATACTACCTTACAGCAGGACTGTCCATCATTTACCTACTATCTCTGGTAACCCAGGACAGGGCCAACACAGAACAGACATGGGAAAGGAGATGAGACGGGGGAACTAATGACTTGTCTTCTCAGCTAAAAACTGGAAAGGACTGTTTGGGGTTTTTTTTTTGTTTTTAAGAGGGGAGATTGGAAATTCAGACTTTCAAATTCTTATCACGCCCTAGTTTTGACAGTCTGCAGGTAGGTAGCATTGCCTTCATCTTGGCTCCTTAAAATCTCTCCTTTGGGTCTCTTTTTCCATGTTACAGTACCAAGTAATCTGGCCCTCTGCTGACTTTCTGCTGCCTTGTACTTGAATACTGAATCACTGATTTTCACTGTATTTTGGATGTTCAGGTGGATTTGTTTTAACGTGTCCAAAATTGAGCTACTTCTTTTCCTGACATTTACCTGCTCGTATTGCCATGCTGCAGCATTATATTCTCCTTCATTTCCAGGGTTTGCTCAGACTAAAAGCAGCATCCAGTGCCATATTTCAAG